TAACATGTGGAATTAAAACTCTGTTAATTCGTAGACTGAAAGTGCGAAATTCATACTAAGTACTATATTTAGTGTGCTGTTATTGTTAGTTATTGATCTTAGATTCAAATTTTGATTTTCAAGAAGGAAAATAAACTTTCGAAATAGTTTCCTTGCAAACAGTATCATTCTTTTTAATTGAGCTAAACACATAAATGTAATTTCTTTTTATAACTTGATGTTTCTCTGTCAAATGTCGGGCTTATCAATATAATTAATGGGTATGTGACTTTTATATATGAAGTTTACACATTATGGGAATTATTCACATCCAGGTGCATAACATAACGCTGTAGAATATGAAGTTATGGGTAGTGGGTTAGAGTCTCATTGAGAACAATACCACTCACAAGAGTGCAGGTTCATACAACTGACGAACCCCGGATAGGACAAAACGCGCCTACTGGATTCCATAAAAACAAGTGAACTTGTTTATACAATGTGAATCATAAATGTACTGCTTTTAAAGTCATTTTCGATTGGTTGTGGTTACCAGAAGAAGCCAGGAAACGCGTCTCGTCCTATTCCGCACTCGTCAGCCGCACGCACTTGTACCCTAGTGACTGATGTTGTTCCCACCGGGACTCGGACTCCAAGCCCATTGCTTTAAACGCTAAGATGCTGTCCACTATGCCACGAAGGTACGATAGTCAGTTCTTGTACAAACAATTCGATCCAAAAAACAACGGAGAATTACAAATTTATCGATAAACAGCAATAACTAATATCCATTGTACAAGAATTGTCTATCGTGCCTTCGTGACAAAGTGGATAACGCCCTAGCGTTTGAAGCGATGGGTACGAGATCCGGGTCTCGGTGGGGACAACGTCAGTAACTGGGGTGCTGGTACGTGCAGCTGACGGGTGCGGGATAGGACGAGACGCGTTTCCTGGATTCTTCTGCTAACCACAACCAAGCAGAAATTACTATAATTAACATTCAGGCAATGTCGAAGCATCCACATAGTAGGTCATATGCCAACAAAGGTCGAGAAATTCTTTCCAATATAACAACGGAGAATAACAAGTATGTCAATAAATAGGAATCCTTTTTGTCAGGATTCAAAAGTAAGTACTGAATTATACTCGAAACGTTTTTCTTCTACATCGATTAGTCACCGATAAGTAGCCAATTTCATGTTGTCTAGTCTTGAGTATTGACAGAATTCTATTGATCATTTTGCATTTTGGCCACCAAGCTAAGAGGATCACCGTTTTGGCGCATTTTGATAGATGTCATTTCTTTGAAAAAAATCGGTAAGATGCCTTGAACCCAGGTTTGGTTCCTGTTGGCACTCGTCAGCAAGGCATATCTGCAGCGTTGAGGGAATTGATATCTCCTGCGAGATTCGAACCAATCAGCGACGTTACCATTGGGCTATTGGAGCAGCAATTAAAATCCTGTGGGACTGGATCAGATACAATTATTGATTAGTAGAGCTGAACCAATTTCATGTTATTTAGTCCTGAATGCGTTGATCATACTGCAATCTGGTCACCGCAATGGGCAACTTGTTAATGTGGTAGATTTCTATTGGTGTTATTTAGCCGGAAACCATGTCGACAGCCTCCAACCAACTAACATTCTACCTTTGGAAAAATTCGTAATTGTTGAACAGAAATGTAGAGTTTGTTGAATTTTAGACTTAACAGACAAGGCATAAGAAGTAAAGATGTAGGAGAAAATGAGATTGTTTTATGCCATACACTATGAAATTTGACGAAGAATAATGAGTAGTATTTTCCATCGACTGAATGCCCACATCATCAATACTTCTTTCTGAATACATAGCTTCTTGATTGTCGTGGACTGGAATGAGAACTTTGGAAATTAAAAACAGTCATTACTGAAGCATAACTCTTAACAGTTCTTCCTCGTGAGATATGACGACGTTCACTGACTGTTTAAGAATAGTACAGATGTCATTCAACAGTACTCAGCGGGATATTTCAAGCTGTAATTGGTGTCAGTTATCATACTATAACGTGAATGGTCAACAAGCACAATGGCTTTGTCACTTTGATGAAGGTTATGAACAGTTATAAATGTTCATCGGTGGTCACAATATTACTGAAGCTTACTTCACTTTTGGTCAAATGCTTGTGTCAAACAACATGACATCGAGCAAATGTTGCAGAAAATAATTTCTTCCATTCATACAACTCAGCCTCAATAGATCCATATGAAATTCACCCATGCAGTAGACAGTCAGCTATACCTAAGGGCTGATGATACTGCCTGGTTACTCGTGACATATTGGTCTTAGATGTATCGTCTAGATCAATGAAACATAGCTCTGACTAGCGGATGTATGTCAAGAAAGGTTGATATGTATGATATCAAAGACTGGCTATTTGCCATGAGTGGAGAGAAAATATCCCAACCCGTCAGTCAAAAATCTAATGATATATCTTTGACGGTTATTCAGGATAGCAGTTTTGCATCATGTAGGTAGATGGGGAAAAAGATTGAAACATGTTTGAACTTACCATGAATGAAAATGACTATTTTGCGTTTAAAGTAGGTAATTCGAACTTCACCTATAGACTGTGCGATAAAGAAAAAATGATCACAAATGACTTGTTGTATATTGATCTTGGTGACTAGCAAAGGAATCCAGGAACCGCATTTCGTCCTGTTTGGGACTCATCAGTTGGACGGGCCTGCATTCAAGTGAGCGATATTGTTCCCAGTAAAGCTCGAACCCACTGCCCTTCGCTTCAAACGTCAGAGCGTTACCCACTAAACCACTACCGTACAACAGCCACTTCTCGTGAAACAATTATCAGTTGTTGTAATGATAATCGTAATTTCCCGTTGCTATACATGGCCAAATTGCTCGACCTGTGTTGACAGATAGACTCTTATACGAATGCCTCAATACTGCCAGACATTCATGATGTTGTATTCGTCTTGGCTTTGTGGATAGCCCTCTAGCATTTGGAGCGAGGGATACTCGTTTCTAGTCTCAGTGGGAATAACATCACGCACTGGAGTGCAGGCAAATCCAGCTGATGAGTCCTAAATAGGACGAAACGCACATCAAGCTGGATTCCTCTGCTAGTCACGAAGACCAATATAACATCATGAATATCCGGTAGTATTGAGGCATCTGCATAAGAGCCCATCTGCCAAAAGAGATCGAGCAATTCAGCCCTATATAGCAAAAAGAAACCACAAGTGTCATCACTACGACTTGTTGCATACTTTATTTCTCTGAAGCAGACATTATGTGCTGACAATATCCACCCCTGTTACAACCAGCAGACGATATGAGCAATCTAAGTCATCTTATTTCAGCTAGACATGGTCTGAGTCCCTGTCGTTGTATATTGCACTTTAAAATCAGTCAAAATAGAATCTTTTCAAGTTGGTATTCCTCATGGACTGATATCAGTTGGAGGAACATTGGAAAAGTGGGAGCATTGGACAGCTGTCTAGTCCTAGTATGAGACTCTTCAACCGTGCGCACCCACGACCCGCCAGAGGTCGAACCCAGGACCTTCAGGATCCGCGGCCAGCACGTTACCATTGAGGCACTGGGTCGGAATGCAAGGTCCATATTCCCAACTTCTGTCCGTTCACGACATAGCCCGATCATCACCCAATGTCATCGTTCAGTATTTGTCTTCAAGGCCATTAAATTTGGTCCACAGGTCAGGACTTGTCATTGGAACTTCAGGAATCATCCCTCGAATCTAGTCATTAATGAGCACTAGATAAATTGAATTTGGGGGTTTCTGAGGATTTAGAGATTTTTCAAGTTGGTATTCATCATGGAATGGAATTCGGTCCTTATTGAGGTTTTCAGGGTATTCATCTATTTGTAGATCCATCCCGCAGACAAATGAAGTCTAGTATTCAATTTTAGCTTAGAGCTTTCAGCCGAATGCCCTAAAATATGCATAAAGTTGAATAAAGCTTTTCAAGGCACCATGTCACTTAGGTTAATAAACACTATAGTACTTGAGTCAAAGGGTTTCGAGATTATTGACGAACATAAAGTCACCCTAATTACTGTGCCATTACTGATTCATTCATTGTATTGATTAGAAAATGCACAAACTGAGCAGTTATATTATAGTAACTGGGAGAAAACTACTATTTCCTAAACTGTATGTGTTTGAAATATTAACCTTTTGTATCACTCATTAAAACTTTGCTATACTCTGTTAACTTTTCAACATTTTGCGTTAAGATCACTAGTTGTTTGTTCATTTCAAAAGCAAGATTTGAACGATTGATACATCCAGTGATAACTCAAAGAATGGTTTACGCATGAAATCTTTACCATTATAGTCACCATCAGATATAATCTATGACAGTTTATAATTGTGGCGAATAATGGTAGCTCACGGTGTTGATGTTCAAAGTCAGCTGTTCTTTGAGGTAGTCGGCAGACATTTCAACGTCATTCTAGACATCATCGCAAAGAAATCCTTGTAAACCTCCAATGATGCTGTGTAGCGTGGTATTGAATCGTTTGCCAACTAAAACCCTAGTTCAGTGAATTACTCATTGCGACCATGATGGTTTCTGCTCTGAATAAGCTTCCTATCACTAAACAACCTCTAGACTTTCAACGATCCTATTGGGCGTCGGTGGCATAGTGGATAACGCCTTGGCGTTTGAAGCCATGGTTCTGATGTTCGAGTCTCAGTGGGAACAACATCACTGACTTGGGTGCAAATACATTCAGCTATCCAGTCTCAAGTAGGACGAGACGCGGGTGAAGCTGAATTCCTCTGCTAGCCACAACCAACCGAAATTGACATGGTTCTACAAACCTTACCAATTGATGCTCAAATCACCCTGATGTGGAATGACAGTCTAGCTATTCCGTGCATAGATGCAGATGTTTTCCAATTTATTTATACCCTAGTAGTTTTATAATTACATAAGAAATCCATTTCTGACCTACCTATATAAAGTTTTTAAAAATAATTATTCCTTTTCTTAGCGAGAATGGACTCGAGCAGTGCTTATTTTACATCGAGATCCAAAGAATGCAGTGATCACAGCTGACTTACAAGATACAGAATATGAAACATTAGATTTACCTGATACAAAAATTGTTATCCAATTGAGCTTATTTAAAATATGCCGAAAACATGCGATTACCATTCATACTTCAACATCGGAAGACTGTAGTCATTCAAATCTAAAACATTCTCCAAACTCTTTTAAAACATCTACGCCATGCTATCAAATTCATTTGAGTTCACGATTTCTATTTGGAAAGAAACAATTATGGTTAGGTTTCATTACACCTTTTGATCAAGATATTTGGTATTCAGCATTAAAAACATTATTATCAAAGCATGGTGGCAAGAAGAATATCCTAAGTGGTCCTGATGCTATTCAAGCTTCTGCACTGAGTTTATCACAGACATCAGAATTAGATTTATTGGCTTCAGCTTTACCAAATATTTTAGACAATGAAATATATGAAAGTACTTCTACTCCAGGTAGGTTACTTTCATTTATTCGTATGCTTTTGAGTAAATACCTTTAGAAATTTAATGTTATTGCTTGTATACCCATCGCACAAGAAGTGGTTACTGTGGCTGGGTGGTGTAGTGGATAGCGCTCTGGCGTTTGAAGTGACCGCTTTCGGGTCCGAATCACAGTGGGAGCAATGTTGCTCACTGGGAAGCAGGCACATCCAGCTGACGAATCTCAAACAGGACGAAATGCACATACTGAATTCCACTGCTAGCCACTATCCATCATTACCTTTCTTAGAAATTATTCTCGATTGATGAATACTTTTTTTAATGTACTGGATGGTCACAGATAGAAGAAAAGAAGGCATAGTTTTACGGTTTGTATTGGCTTAGACTTATCATGTATCCTATCTACAACTTCTGTTCCAATCAGTCATAGTTATTGTACTCATGAATACTTTCATGTAGTAAGCAAGAATCTGAACAAGGGAGAATAATTATCCTTTTCAATAAATTCTCTTCACGTTCGACAATCATAAAATGTATTTGTACACCGTAAAAACAAGTCATGTTAGGGGCAAGTACATTTTCAAAATGGAGTGAGATCTAGGGATTGCAAGGAAACTGATTCATCCTTTTCAAATTGGTCAATATTGGGATGATACATATAAAAAATAATGATATGATGGTGAATAAAAAGATACTGAATAAGATGGCTAAAGTGGCCTTTACTTTGCTGAAGGCCGAGGGAAACGTAAGCTTGAGCATGTTCTTTCTTAATGCAGAGTTCAGGCTTGATCAATCTTATTGCAACAGCCTTCGCTATGTTGAGTGGGCGTTAGCGAGCTACATGTGGTATCGTTTTTTGGAACACGCTGAATGACACTGAAAGCTTCATTAGCATCTATGTGATGCCCTGTGTCGACTACCGCTTTCATTTCGCCCTTTCCAAACCAAACTGGTAAATGCTCTCGCATCCGGAGACTCACCTACCTAATCACAAACCCTATGTAGCTAGTTCCACAGGAACAGTTAAACTGATATATGTAAGATGAAGAGCGTTGATCATTGGCCGATTCCTGAATGATATACAAAGCTGACCTGCATAAAACCTTCTGTTGACTGTTCTAGCCAGGCGTTATGATAGAATATCACTTAGAACATCTCCTATGAATTGTAAGGGCAGAAACAAAGGCTTCTTCTCCACTGTCATCAGTCCTTCTTTAGGCCCAATATAATTGATGTTAGTTTTGATGAACTTATCTGGATATCGGTCTTCACTTATAATATCACGGATACACAGTAGTTCTTTTCCATACATTGATTGGAAAAGATGGATCTTACTCTGAAAGTCAGACACCTGATTATATTTCGTTTGTACTTCATTAGTACGAAAGTGAAAAAGTATGTATGCTGTGCCTTAGATGTTATTTTTCTATATGTGCTTCTCAGTATAGAGCCATTGTTGCTTGTTGTCATTAGCACATCAAGAAAATGTATGGAATCATTAATTTCATTTTCGTATGTAAAATGAATTGATGGATGAACACTGTTGAAATGGTTCAGAATGGAATTAATGAATATGCGCTTATGAAAGACTGAAAAAGTATCATCCATGTATCGACAGTATAAGAAAAAATAGAATAGAGTAAGAACAACTATGATGGCAGGATGCTCTTGCAACCTAGAATAATATCAGAATGCATAGTTTTACTAAAGATTTAACATACTTTAATTCATTGATGGGAAACAGAACAACGGTCAGTGGTTAGGATTGACTGGAATAGTCATAGACTAGTAAAGATCAATCATACTGGCAAATTCAAGGAAGATTAATAGATGATGACAGGTTGTCACAGTTACATACATGATCTAATGGAAGTTTCTCGAATGAAATAACGATATGAGTAGCAATCAAAATTTTGATGGACTTAACACTATAACATTAGGTAAGCAAGCTCAGTTACTTCAAATCTCTCGATATGAACGGAAGATGGTGCAACTAAGTAAGAGTGAAGTAATGAACATCTAAGATTGCTAAAGGATACTGTAATCAGACAGTAGTCTAGACAGGTTACTTAGATAGACAAAGGTTGAAAATGGCTCTTTATGAACATATAAATCATGTTTGAGGTGGGCAATAATTCCAGCAGACTTCAGAAGAATTGAGCTCATTTGTTTTTTTATTATCTTGAAGGAAATGAAGATGTCTGTTTGATGCGCATCGTCAGTCAGATGCTGAATGTGTGTTAATTCTCCTAGGTCATAGGCTCTTTAGAATATGTTCAGAAAATCTGAGATATGCCCTTCTTTAGTCTTATTCAGTCCAGCTAATTCAGTCATTTGACATATGAACTTCTTACGTAATCCAATACAGTTAAATTCCTCAGTATGATTACATGCTTGTAGCAATTGAAACTGCACATTTCATATAGTTTTGTTCATAAAGCTGCTTTATCAATTTCCATTTTCTTCATAAAAGTGTCATGAAACAAAGTTGTATAATCACACAAAGAACTTCATTTGACTGGCAAACATATATTTATTGAAAGTTCACCTTGTAATCCAATTTCATTCAAGAAACTACTGTAAACTAGCAGCTCTAGTTCGATGCATATTCTTAGCCTTATTGAATATAAACACTTGATTTTGTATCGTAAAAATACCTAAGCTTTGGGTACAAATTCATAGTCATCAGATTTGTGATCTTCTACAATTTTCTTTCAGTGGTGTCAACAATTATTGGTCCTTACATCTAGTTCATATATGAACCAGAAACTTGAGGAAGCCAATAAGCTTAATTCAGTTAGTGAATAGTCATGGACTATCACTTGGTTTAAAAACCTTGTTAATTAACTCAGATTGAAAGTAGCTGTTTGATAAAAGGAACTGGTGACTTCTGCCTAACGAGGTTTTACCCCATTTGCAGAGCTGATACTTAGCCTATGTCTGAAGTGTTTACTAGATTTTCTGTAATTCGAATAACTCCTCTGTGGGTGTATTGATAAGAAGAGTACTACTGTCTTGTCTTACTTTATGCATGTTATAATTAAAGTTAGCTGCGTCAGGATTAGAACGAACAGTAACTCCAGAGGTCATCGGTTTCAGTCACGTAATAGTTTAGGTTATACTTAAACTTCAGTCACCACCCCTTTGGACTAGGGTATATCTACCAAAATACGTCTCCCTCAGGAAGACTCATCATGAGACATGTTTCCAGCATGATGTTTCTCATTAAATTATTTATATATTTTTGTGATTAATGAAAAATATCCAATCAGTCTGATAATATTTACATGTATAGATCATTTTCAGTGATTCTTCAACCCATAGTCAAGACATTTTTGACTCCTGTGTGTAGAATACCTTTAACAAGACATATTTCAAACCTTCTGTTTAAAGGAAATTAGTTATACATCTACGTATGAGTCAACTTAAATTACCTGTAGATTGATTAGAGACTTTCTCACTGTTGATAATACAATGCCTATGCATTATATCATCAGGATTGCTAGGTACCAGACATTATACTGCAGTATGTTCATCCATTCGTTTATCTCAAGATCCGATGCTTTATTATCACAAAGAGTTGAAGGTTTGTTCTTCTTGGAGTCGGTTCTAACTGAGGCTGTTCATTTTCTGTCAAAAATCCTCCAGATTGCGTCACCTTGCAGTTAAAGCTGTTCACATTTTTGTAATGATGGATAGTGGCTAGGAGTGGAATCCAGGATGCGTATTTCGTCCTATTTGGGACTCGTCAGCTGGATGTACCTGCTTCCCAGTGAGTGGTGTTGCTCCTAATCAACGACGGTACAGTATAAAAAAGACAATTATATTCAAAACTATACCCGTCGCACAAGAGGTGGTATCGTAGCTTGGTGGTGTAGTGGATAACGCTCTCACGTTTGAAGCTACCGCTCCCGAGTCCGAGTCCCGGTGGGGACAACACTCACTGGGAAGCATGTACATCCGGCTGACGAGTCCCAAATAGGAAGAAATACGCATCCTGGATTCCACTCATAACCATTACTCATTATTACTATAATTAGAATACAGGTAACGTCGAGGCGTCCGCACAGGAGTCCATATGCTAATAGAGACCGATCAATTCGGTTCAATCAATGACGATATAATATAAAAAAGTACAAAAAACGATTATACTATTTACACTGTTGTTTACAAGATTAACCTTCTATAGATTTGCAACAATTTTAACTATACCATTCTAACATATTAATAGTGCATACTATTGTTCTCTAAATGCCGGCTGAAATGGATTTTCACTTATCATGTTAATTTTTTTTAAAGTTTAATTATTTTTCATTTGACTCAAGAAAAATCAACACTGAACAGTGTTAGCTGAGTTCTGTAGTTTCGACAGAATCATCATGATGGTTGTAAAATGGTATTTTACTGATGTAGTGTCCATCGAAAGTGTACCGAAATGTCCTGAAACAATTCTAGGATGCAAAGCTATATAATCATCATCTCTGACTTCATAAGTTGACTTTTATACGGAGTATAAGTAAACAACCATTCCCCAGTTAAGCAGTCACTTTAGTTTCTTGCCATAAAGTGAATAAAAATCGTTGATTTTACCGAAATGTATTCACTTACATTATCCAGTAACTCATTTATTTACAATGTAAGGTTGAAATGTGTAAGTTGGCATTCATTATGGGTTGACATCAGTTGGAGAATCACAGAAAACCTGGGAGTACCGGAAAGCCGTTTCGTCGTAATATAGGAATTTTAGGCGGTGCGCATCCACAACATACAGATTTCATAACTAGAACGATACCATTGGACCATTTCGTTGGAATGTAATTGTTCACATTTTCCTACCCCTGTCAGTTAGGCGTATATCACAACCTCTATCAACTAATGTCATTCCTTTGGTGAATAATAAGTTTAAACCAATAAATCTCCACAAACCTGTTAGTTAAATTACACTTCAGTACTTATTAATGACTTGCTTCGAGATGAGATTTCATGAAGCTCTGAAAAGAAGTCATGAGAAGTGGGGCTAGTCAACTCAAAAGCGAGGACAAGTACTCAAAGAGGGTGGCGTTATATCACAAACTGGCAGAGGTAGGAAAATGTGAACCGTTGGGTTCTTACTGATTAGTCCAATGACAACGTGCTTGGCACGAAACGTGAAGGTCATGAGTTTGATTATCTGTAGGGGGGGGGGGGGCACACTGTCAAGAAGTTCCACACTGCAGCAAAACAGCTATCCAGTGCTCTCAGGTTTTCAATGGTTCTCCAGATGATGTTATTCCACGATGAACACCAACTTGAAATTGACAAAATCCCTCACAAACCTCGAAATTGAACTGTATACGTTAACCAAGACCTGAATGAGTTTCCTTCACACTAAGTCTCAGTTCGATCACATTTAAGAACGTAAACTAAACTAACTGAATGCTGAATGTGTAGATATATGAACTACTGAAAAAAGGGTTGATTGTTGCCATTTTATAAACTCGAGCCTCAAGTGTTTTAGTAGCTTTAAAGGCAAAATATTTCACGTTTTGATCTCAACACTACCGTAGAGTGACACAATTACTTCCTATCTGTTCCAAATGCCTTACTTACCATCCTCAGTAGTGACTGTTCATATGAAGAACTGGATCTTGCTGACACATATATCTAAGGTGAGGTAGCTTCAGATTTTCAAGATCTATAAGGTATAACTCCTTGCTGTGTATAGTCTTAGTAGTACTGTTTGCTATTCTGGAGTAAAGTAGTGCTCGCGGTGGATGCTCAGAAATTGTAGTTTCCTGAGATGATTTTTTGGCCGCATCTACCTCTCTGGGACTACTCTATGAGGTAAGTCAAAATGATATTACTAGGACATCATGCCAATAACTTAGATTCTGTGTCTTGAAATGTGAGTTTTGCAGTGGTATGTAAAATACTTTGATGTTGTGTTTGAAGGTTATGATAGATTCACTTAAGGCAACAATGGTTCCAGCATTCAAGATAGACAGACACATACACACAGAGAGTAACAGAATGTTCATGATTTCAAAGGATATAAATGGTGAATAAGTCTGATTCAATATTTTTGACCTACCATCTGGTATTTCGGACCACTGATTTCTAGCATCTTTCTGACCACAGGTAAGTGCTCAACTTATCTACATACTATCAAGACTAATAGTTAACAATTAAATAACCTGTTTGGCTGCATTTATCCTGGTGGCCTGCTGTGGGATATAGAACCTGCGTTTCATCAGCTGAATGAATATGCACCCCAGTGATTGATGTTGTTCCCACTGAGACCTGAACCAAGTACCCATTACTTCAACCACCAAAGCGTTATCCGCTCAGGCACTGGATCTGTGCCTTGATGGAAACAACGTGACTCACTGGGATAGAGGTACATTCAGCCGTAAAGTTCAGAATGGGAAGAAGTGCGCCTCCTGGATTCCACGGCAAGTAGCTTAGATGAACAGAACATAATTAATATTCAGGAGTAAAGAGACATCCGCATGGAAGCCCATTTGTCAACTGAGGTTGGAGAATTCGACCCTGTATAGTTATGGGAAATTAAAAGTATCAGACAATCTGTCCGACTTTTCCTACTTTATAAATCCTTTTCAGGAAAACTCCAGCCTTATTTTGGGGCATCTTAAAAGGCCACCCTAGTGACAACCAAAATGACCAATTACGTTCCTTCATTTCGACAAATTTTCATGAAATAGCAAAGCCTGCTTGGTTACTTCAGTTGCTGCTGAGGTGGCCTATTAAGTCACTCATATTTTGACATGATAGGGTAAGCATTTCATTAGAAACATATTCATAATCTCATATGTTGGCTGAATTAAATTGCCTAAGGATTGAATGCTTAATTTCGACATTAACCCCCAAAACAATCCTACCAAGCCTTAGCAGTTATTCAAAAACACATAGTTGAATCCTCATAACCTTTTATATCTTGCCTCCACTTTTAAGGGCTGTATATTTTAGCCAGAAAGTACAATACAGCGAATAATTGTAAAGTACGCTTGTAATTGGACATTTCACTGATACGATTTATGAAATGGATTAGCAGACTGTGAGTACGCTCTTCATATCGGTGTTGAAATTTCGTTAGCAGCTACTTCATCAAGGCTGATAAGATTTCTTAAATACATAAAGCTGTTAACTCATCTTTCTTCCGAACTGCAACCCGGGTGTTGGCATAAACTAACGTCAGAACAACATTTCACATTTTTAGTAAGAAGTTGCTGAATCAACGAAGTCAACTCGTATGACAAATACTCGATGGGATCACTCTAGTATGAAGAAAATATCTATGCTCTGATTCTGTCAACTGAGCTACGGGACCCGACCGCTGACCGAATTTTTATGTCACTTGAATGACCAAAGGTTTTTATCGACTGCTATATGAATTTGTGATGGGTTGCTACCGTTTGGTCATAGTCATACTAGCTGCCCAGCTAAATTTTCTCATCCCAATTCCTATCTATTTGGATTAAAGAAGCTAGTAACCAGAAGGTCACTGGCTCAAGTCCTACCCTGCTCCAGATTTTCATTTCCCCTTCAATCATCACCATGTATGAATACTAGTCTGCCAAACCATAGCTATCTCAGATATTATTTATTATTTTTCCCTTGGGTTTCTAGTGGAACATAGGGCTTCAGTAGCACATCGCCGTTACACTCTGTTCTCTGTAGTCTTTTCAACCTGGCTCCATATCTGCCCATAAGCTTTTATTTCTTCCTCATATGATCTCCTCTATGTCACCCACAGATGGGACGCCCAACTCGTCGTTTCCCCTTTGGGTTCCACTCGAGGGCTTGGCACGCGATGTCCTCAATCGTTCTTCTCAGTATACGTCTAATCCAATCCATCTCCACTTTTCTTCTGCATATTTGTTGCGCGATAGGTTCTTGGTTTGTTGGTTCATTGCCAGCCAGCCAGAGTTCCTTTTTGCTTATTTTTATCATTCTGGCCATCTGATCCTCAGTATCGAGCGTAGGTGGCAGCTGTTGATGAATGTCTGTAGTCAAATAGTCAGATAGTCAAACTAATAATCAATATGGCGCCCCACTCCTCTTATTCAAGTAGATTTGGATTTATATGAGAAGTCTTCACTAGGCGGCCAGTGTGAGTACGATCAAGCGATATTAATCCATCATGAACTCACATAGCGGTTTCGTAAAGCCTTTGGCAATTGAAGTAAAATCAAGATGTAGTCTGCAGTCAGGTCTCGCAGTTCAGTTTGTAAACCTCAAGAAGGTCTCCTGTATGGATCCTGCATTGGTGTAGATTTCCTTCAGTCATCCAGTATTAATACAAGTCTGCCAATTCATGACTATTTCAGATAATCAAACTGATAATCAATATTTAGTTTTACAAAGTATATCGAATTTGTTAGCATCATGTATTTACACCATCCAGAGAACCATTGAAAACCTCTGAGTACTGGGCAGCTGTTTTGTTCTAGTTTGGGATTCCTTACCAGTAAACATAAAAGATCATATGAAGGATTAAACCGCAGACCGCATAACCAGGACGTTACCACCAACTCATTCGGTTAAACGGGACCGATGTCAAAGTAATTCCGTGATACACAACAGTCCCAATCGTCTAAATAAGACGACTGGTCAATTCAGGAATCCAGTGATACAGTTTTTTTCAAGTTCTACTGATATCAGTCAATCCCCACTGACGTAAGTGAGTTAATTTCTCCTTTCTTTTTCTTTGTTCTAGATACCTTCTCCGTCTGCATCATTCACACAGAGAAATCAAAGGATTTAGGTCTGTCAGGTCGTTATTTACTACGCTTAAAAGAAAGTGCATTTGAGTTACTTGATCCAGATACTTACTCAATAGTAAGAGTATGGCCTATCAAATATGTACGCAAGTAAGATTGTATACGTTTAATACAATAACACTGAATTTTTGTACGGTATATCGAAAAAACTGAGAGAGAATTTTCATTCCAGTTACAAATATATATGACGATGATGATAGTTGCCTAAAATTTTCACCAATAGTATGTAAGACTGAAGGGCTATACGTGCCGCTTTAATAAACAGTACTACTTTTAGATTTTACAAAAATATCACTAGTCTGCTATTCTGTTTTCCAAATCTTCCTCAGTTTCCCAGTTCGATTCAACGTCACCGACAATTTTAGGGGCAATTTTGATTTAGGCGGATATGCATGAAAATGGAGCACACCGTTCACTCCTAATGACGGAGAGGACCCCAAAGTCCTCAGTATCTACCCTTAGAGGCATTGAGTCTCTGACTTGCATAATTATCGTCTTATACCATCCGCATCCCACACTTATTGTTCTACTTAATATCATCTATCCTCCAACAGTGGTGAAATGACGGCATCCAGACACTTCAGCCCTTACTGTCTCTGTGGTAAGCAGATAATTGACTAGGTTAAGGAATATATCAGTGATTGATATCGGAAACCATTTGCCTAACCAGGAGAGATGATACAAGTTTCATCACCAGTGTTCAGTAACGGTCGCTGGTAGGTATAATTTTCTTCTTCTTAAAGATGACAGTAGTCAACGTTTTAAATAAAACCGTGTCAAGATAGATTACATCCAATTAAAAACCTTTTGAATGACGAGATCATTTCTCCCTTCACATATGCCATACGGTAAGTATGGTTTAAGCTCAGTGAACTATAAGTTAGATTTACATGAATTATATTAATTAGTAATGCGACAGTCTGACATTCAGACTATGACATCAACCATAATTCTTATGGAAACAATGGAACTAAATTGAAAACTCTGATTTTCTGAAATGACCAGATATAACCATTGTAAGATAGAGTACACCAGGAGTTACTCATGTTCGGCTGCTCAAATTTATCTACTTACACTATGGTGAATTTTTGTTGATGCGCAAAGAATGAGTATGATCTCAAACTAGCAGAACTATCACAGAGTGTTGAGACGATAATACTTTCGGCTGTTTAGAACAACTACAGAGGATGTGTACTTCAAACTAAATAAAATGACGTTATAGATTCTACTTTTTGTTGAGTAATGAAAAAGCTTGCTAAAATCTATGCGAAAACGTTATTTTGTAGGTGCATAAATACATGAAGAGCGAATAAGTAACTCATGGCTATGCTCAGTTTGGCGGATTACTCACATTAGTCATTATGTTATCTGTTTGGCGGCAACTGGTCTCGTACTTAGTGGAACTCATCAGCCGTTCATCAGTACTCAGTCACGCCTTGTGATTAAAAAAGTAGACTCGACCGCTTTTCTGCTGATAAATCGATCTCAGTGTTTCTCTTGCATATTTCAAAATACATTTTGAATAAAATGCTGACTGTACACCTTATTAAGTGTCTTGTATTTTTAAACCATATTTTAAAAAGCAAGCGTTGGATTTGTTGCTATCTAGTGACCAACCTGATCCAGTCCTACAGGCGGTCAATCACAGCGCCAATCACTCGGTGGTAACGTCTCTGACTACAATACTGAGTGGCGCGGGTCTGAATTTCAGGACGAAAATCCGTCACGTCGAGATTGGTAATACGCCATGCCGACGAGTGCCAACAAGCACGAAACCTGGGTGGAGCTGGACTTACAGTCAACTGCTTCCAGCTAAGTGGTAAATGTTCAGTCATTTTTTTCATTCCTTTGAAGAACTCGAAGTCTGGACGTACCTGACTCCTAGTAGCGATGTTAACCCCAGGGCCTATCTTTTCAAGCACCAGAACGTTATGCACTAGGCCAGAGAGTCACGATAGCCACTTCTTGTGAGAGGGTATAATTTTAATATTATCACTTTTATTAGCCCGTTGCACACTGGGAGGCGGGTGCATCCAGTTGACGAGTCCGAAATAAAACGAAACGCGTCTCCTGGATTGCACTGCTAGCCACTATCCATCCTTAATATATAAATCAAACACAGGTAATTTCGAGGTATCCGCACTGGAGCCCATATGCCAATAGAGACTCATCAATTCGGTCGAATCAACGACGGGATAATAAAAGCAACAAGATAACCACTGAATATCGCCTAGTTTTCGCTAAATATGATATTCAAATGTATCTTAGCTTGTTTATGATCTGACCAAGGGAATCCAGGTGTATATCGGAGCAAGATAGTTGAAAAATTTCAGTTCAACGCGTCTCAACGAATCTACTAGTTTGAAGGTGCTTTTCATCAACAATTGAAATCAGTTGATGCCACTTGAACACAATAAGCTTTGAACACTTGTTCACTACTATGTGAAAACTTAATAGCTGCGAGTATATTTAATTTTATTTAGTTAAAGGAAAATCTTAAGATCCTCAGAGCACTCATTGCTTTCAGACTATTTACCATATAGTATAGCATATATTTCTATGTAATTCAAGCATGTTTAGAAAATTAAAACAAGATATTTCTGAACATTTCGCTATGTAAGCCACAGCTTCTTCAGTAGAATATCTAAATACGTCAGGATTATATTAAAATATGTTCTTGTGATGATTCAGTCAGACTTGGTCCTCAACATCTTCCAGGATATTCATAACAACTATAGTCTGGATTAATGATGGATAGTGGCTAGCACTGAGACCCATGATGTACGTTTCGTCCTGTGTGGGACTCATCAGCCGGATGTGCTTGCGCCCCAGTGAGCCATGTTGTTCCCCCTAGGACTGGAACTCGGAACTTATAGCCTTGATAGTTTCAGTTTTGAATTCGAACCTATACAAGGTGAACAGTGTACGCTTTAGATGAATTCTTTGCCAATAATAACGCCTGGATTTTACATGATTCTCTAGTTGTTTTCACTATCTGATCCAAATGAACTTTATGCAAATATAAATGTTTCAATGAATCAACTCATGTTCTTTTGTTATTCTTCAATTTCCGTTGGTCATTGAACAACCAGTTTGTAAGCTTTATGATATAGAATAACTTCGGAAAGATTTCATTTATATGAATTAGATACATTTGTTTATTATTTTCTAAAAAGACTTTTAAACTGTTTCTCTGGTAAGTTATTCGAATTGTGACAATTGTTTATGTCACGATGAATCAATGGCGAGACACATAAGTAGGAAATGGATCATATTGTCCACTGAACTAGTGAACGTATGTATAAACACACTTTTTGTTTCATTTTCTGCTAACACTAGGTGAAGTGTATGGCTTTGATTTTCATGTGAGTCATAAACTTATCAATATTTGTTAGTTCGAGTATACACAAAAAACAAGAAGAACAGTTAGTCGGTGACTGACTACTTATTACGATGCATAAGTAAGTGCATCTGTCTGTATTTTCTTGTGTGTAGGTGATGATTGAAGACAATGGCCAATATATCATTCATTCTACAATTCAGTAGATAAAACATTCACTTTGGAGTACACTGTATGTGTAAATACAGTATATGATAACATATTAATGAGCGTTCATCGTGTGCATTCTGCCACTTATAATAATTGATTAAGTAATATATATGCTAAGTATGCGTTAAGCTCTAGGACAGGCTGAATAAAATAAAAATAGACGTTTCAGGACAATAAGTCTTCTAGGAATGATACCAAAAGTAAATTTCAGTCAACGCCAAGTTCTCGGGGTAGATACATACATCAGTTACCCAATGGTGACCAATTTATGAAAATAATCCTGTTTTACATGAAGTTGGATGTAGCCTAAAGTGGTCGAGTGAATAGTTATAATAATGAGACACTTGAAGTGGTTACGACAAGCAGCTGCTCTCATTACCTTGTCTTATACTTCATTGAGGCACGTAGATACGAGAGACAAAGACTTACCTGCGACTGTAAGGAGGTCTTTTTTAGCAATAAAAATACATCATTTATATACACTTTTCATGAATATATAAAACCACTAGGTCAAAAGTTAAATTACTTATTTTGACTAGCCAACTGAAGCATAAAACTGTCCAATAAGGTTTTTCTTGAGTACGCAGCGACATAAAAAAAGAATTTAAATACAAATTCTTCTACCTTATTGGCTGATGACACAAAATAATTTTCCTTTTGGCCGTTGCCTATCATGGTTTGATAAGCTTTCTAACTTTAGCAGTGTATGAGACAGGTTCGATTTACCTAGGAGACACTATTTTCCTCATGGTTACAGATAAGCCATCACTGAGGAGCCCTAAGAAGCCGGAGAACCAAACAGGGCAAGGCGTCCTCCCTACTGATTCCAATGATGACCAATTCCTGTATATAGATTGTGTGTACTTACAGTGACTAGGTATAATATTTCATTATGTCAAGCTAATAATAAGATATTTCAGTGAATAGCGATGACTTGACGGTAAACACACACAGAAAGAAAGAAAAAGTTAATAAACTAAAACAACATTGAAGACAACTCTCATTTCATTAAGTAGCTCCATATTAGATTGTTGGTTTGGTATGACGAACAGCGATACAGTATTATTTATCCACCGGATGATGTTTTCAACACAATTCACTTCTCATAATCATACCTTAGATTAGTAATACAACTTTCTGAATTCATTTTCATAGTTCAACAGGTCTTCATTCCTTTATTTTGAGGGTAGTAATATTTGCCAAATATCTGTAATGTATGAGAAGTCATTCCAGTTACTTGTATACAGTGTACGGACTCAACGAAGAAAGATTGTGTAGTGAATGTCTCCCGCCAACTAGCAGTATTGGATTTCAGAACTGTCACCCTATCCCATCTAATGTTGTGTTTGTGTTTGTACATGTAAAGCGACAATCAAGTTTTCGTCTATGTTAACTAAGTAGGGTTTATCATTCTATATTTTACTAAATTTTTGTGTTCCACAATCGTGACTTATCTCAATTGGCTACTTTGACCTGTGTACTTAACTTCATAATGATTACATGGTATTTGGTGGGTTAAGTTATTCTGCTTAATTGTATTCATTGGATCATGCAGCTTACAAAGTTTCTCTCTGATTAAAGTTGTGAGTTTATATGGCACTCTGGTCCCAGTATTGTTAAGAAGGACTTGTAATGTCCCTCGTTTATGTGACAACACGTCAGAAGGTTAGAATTGCCCTATTAGGTATTTTATGAGTACTATATGTGGCTTCTTAAGAACTTTTATCTAAACTCCGAATATTAGTTATTAAGTAGTAATGCCTGTTCAGTCTGTTTGAGTTCCTGGTTTAGATTTTTTGTTTTACTAGGCAAACTGTTAGCTCGATTACTTCAGTATTTTTCTAAGCCTACGTTGAGAAATATAAGGTAATACGATGTGTAATATCAATTATCTTACCGAGTATGATAGTTTTCTGCAAAGACTGGCATCTAAACTACTGTGTCCTCTTGTCTTGATTGATGGCGGTGTGATTACGTTGTTATGATTATGATCAATACTTTGAGCTGAAAAATTTCATTCAGTAAATAATACACTATAACTCACTCTATGCTATATCAGATAAACTATCGAAAATAGAAGGTAGATGGAACTTAGTAGCAAGCAGAAGTACTACTCATAAACAAAAATTATCCTTAAAAAATTGGGAAATACCTTTTTATATCATGTCTCGAATATCATGAAATACTGAAGCCGCAAAATCCTAGTTTTACATACAGTACTGAAAGGTTTCTTCACCTTTAAATTGTAGCAAGAGTTAATGAAAACCAGTTCATTAACAAAAGTTTATTGTCTTGTTACTGTAACACAACATGTGCACACTATTTGTCGAGGGAAGCTATTCTTTCTCATTTTGTTTTCGTGTTGAAGTATACAAGCACGTACACAACTTGGTGTAACTTTTCTTAATGGTAAGATTACCAAAACTAGTTCATTTGATATTCAGCAATCAACGCGAATACATAGTCCACAAGTATAAAGAGTCAGTGTTGGTGAGATTAGCCTGGCGATAAAAACCTAATTTCATCAGTCAGTCATCCATGTTCAAGTTTCTAAAGAGACATGAATTTCTTCCGGGTATGCAGATACATCTTGTTGATAAGCGTCAAATCAAAACAGATCTTTGGCTGATTAACTTCAAAGGGATGGTCATAATGTAGTGGGTGGTACTGATAACAATGAATATATGTAGTATACGTTGAGAGATCGGCAGAAGTCATAGGCAATTACGAGCGATGAATAAATATTCTACCCAGAGAAATACAAGAAAAGGTGTAGGCGTGTGAGTAGCAAAACGAGATAGAAGAAGAAGAGAAAGTGAAGCACATTGTTCAAATGACTATTTTAATGCTAAGTGTGCAATATTTCTAAATGCGTGTCTACCAACCATATGGACATCAACCGTTAGCGTACATGGTCTTATCTATCAATAAGACCACCACCCCAGTATCTGTTAGACACGCGATCTCCTGATCATTTATTCGCATCCTATCATTTCCAGCACTTCTATCTTTGGCTCCTACGACATCCATTCTAGTCGGAAAAACAGAATACATAATATATCGTCCAAAACTTTTTCTTTTTCGCCTCTTCAGACAGTTTCTTTGACAGTCTCCCAGTTTTTCGCATGCAGAGCATTTACTATGTCTGCTGATATTCATTCGAAGTGCAACCACCTCCTTCTGAAAGTTATCGATTTGTTTCCTCCAGTTATTTACCTCTAGTGACTCTCCCGCAGCTACTGTTGTACTCACTAGCTGTCTGATGACCTTGGCCAGCTCACTAATACCCATGGGTTGGTCTGCATTCACTAGTCGTAGTTGCCGGGCGATAGCATTCAGGACACTTTCGGCGAACTGTGCAGCCAGCAACTGCTCCTGGGAGTCCTCATCAAAAGTCCAAAGTGTTCGTCGCAGTAGTTTTGTCAAATTTATAGCCAGTACCAGCGGATCTTCGTCTGTTCCAAGTCTCGTGCTCCGGAACTGTTGCATTGCCAGCTCTCTGTCCATTAGGCTTTCAAACTTCGCCTACAGTCGTCCAACCATTCTCTCCCAAATCCCCTTTCCATTCATGCGTTGCATGCCATCATGTGCCACTTTTGCTCTACCCTTGGCTCCGAGACCGACTCGAAATCCCTGAGGAAGGTCTTGATATCTTCATCCTCGAACACTACAAGCCACTGAATCTTCATCACTTTCGGAAGCAGTGGCACCAATTGTAAGAAAACGACAAAGGATGAGATGCAGGAATGAATGTTTATTATTGACATCTTGTAAAGTAATGATGAAATACTTTTCAAGTCCCGTTGAAACAGTGATTTACAAAATGTGTTTAATTTTCTGTTCTTCTTCCATCTCGTTTTGTTCTTCATACGCTCATACCTTTTCTTGTGTCTCTCTATACAGAATATTTACCTATCACTCGTAATTACCTATGACTTCTGCCGATCTCTCAACATAAACTACTTATATCCATTCTTATCAGTAGTTCCCACTACAATACTTACTGCTTTCCTGAAAAAACAATGATTGAAGTGTTTATCTGCAATTCTGAAAAGTTTTATAGATGTATACTGCTACTAAATCTCAAAATGAAAGGAATTAGTTATCCATTAAGATGTGGCTTGCAAAGTCAGGTTTTTTGCTAAAATTCTGAAGTTCTAATGACATTAATAACCTATGAGATCAACTATTTGAAAGTAAAGCCAATGTCAACAAAGGAATTCGATGAATATTTGCTCTATATCATGAATTAACAGAAGTAGGGAATTATGAATCACTGACTTCCGACTAAGTGCTTCGATGGTTAACACGTTCGCCACAAAATATGAAGTTCCTGTGGTTGACTCCCCTTGGAGTCGTTTATGGGTGCTATTGAGTGGTTGAAACAGCTTTTCAGTGCTTCTAGGTATTCAATGTTTATCTAAGTTACATTCATTTACTTTTCATATTTTCTAGCTGAATGTACCTAGATTCATAACTTTTTAAGTCTGTAAATCTGTATTGTTGTATAAATTTTTAGTAAACACTAAGTAGATTATGTATCAATTTACTTTTGTATTGAATTGAAATAATGTGTATATTTATGTATACTTACAGATTCGGTGTATACACTAACGATTTTATTTAATCACTGGAAGTGGATGTGAAGGTGGTCGTGGATTATTTATCTTTCTAATTGAAAATGCTGATAAATTTCAGACAAAATTATTTCGTCAATTGAAACAATTAACTTTACAATCACATTTGTCTAGACGTGCTACAGACTCAAAAAATGGATTATAGAACAGGTATTAAAAAAAGAATCTGAAGAATTTCATTTAACTGAATCAAATAATTGTTGGTTTTCATCAGAGCCAAGAAAAAAGCGAAATATAATCACTTCTCCTGATTTATTGAATTCAAGATTGATAACAAAACCACGTGCTAGTTCAGTAAATGAATTTATTCTACAAAACAAAGAATCATTATATCCAAATTCACATCAATATTCATCAAACATGTTACCTAAAGAAATCTCTGTCTCATTAGCTTATGATAGCGATGTTAAATCATCTTCATCTTCATGGTTATTTCCAGATGATAATTTTTTATCACCTAATGGTAAGTGTTTTACTGAACGTTCATGTCAAACACTATTTGGAAATGATACTTCAGAACATTCAAAACACTTAATTAACAATAATAATTCACCATGTATTTCTCCAATTAGACAACAAATTCAAGAACAGAATACTATTGATAATAATTTTGGTTCACAGGAAACATTCATCTCAGAAACATTATGTGATCAAGAGAATAATCATAACAATAATGATAATCATAATAATCTTAACTTGGAGGAAGACGATGATGATGATGATGATGATACCGGCGATTTCAGTGGAACCTCACAACCAGTTTATGCAAACGCTGAACAGATTACCAATACAATATTCAATGCAAAGACTAATCAAATACACAAAGAAAGGATACTAATGCATGGCTTCAGTAATGTGGATGAAACAGTGGTAACATCATGGTATGTTTCAATTACATCCATTTAACCTTTGACCTTTATAATATGTTTTGAAAAAACAGCGAACGGATAGGAAATGTTGTCCATGTATTATGTTGTAATTTTAAGATTTATTCAACGTGTCAACCTACATGTATCTTCTTGTCAAAGCTTATGGTTAGACCTTGGCATTAGAAATCTGTACTTGTATACTATGATCACCAAGAATACTGATGTCAAGGAATAATAAAGGCGATATCTTTTATTCATGAAGACAATCTATTGAACAGATATGCTCCATGCATTTTTGTTTTGATAATACACCTTTTATGCGGCAAACATCCAGTCAAAAGTGATTTAGGACTTACAGATTCTGCAGCAAATATCCTACCATTGATTGAATCCTGGTGGTGTCCTGGTCCTGGGTTCGATCCTTGACGAGGTCTCAGTTGCTCACCTCTGAGAAGTCCCAGCTAGGACAAAGATTTTTGTGAGCGCAAGAGTCTTTGGAAACACCACACTGGAAATCTTCGACCAGATAAATAGACATGAGAGAGATTTAAATACATGGTGTTTCTAAGAAATCTGTGTTATCCTTCCTAGAATATAAAGTTTCATTTTGATGTTCTCGTTTAGAGTTATCTTGAATAAGTATGATTTTCATGGCCATGTATTTTCACAATAGCTTATGAGTAGTATACACACCGTTCCATTGGACAGTGAAAGTAAATAATAATACTTCTGCTGCTTATAAGAAAATGATATTGAGATGAATTCACCTAATTTATCAAGAGATTGAATAACCAATCAAGTCAACCCAGTCAAGAATAAAATTAGGTATTGATGGATGATGCTGGATGTTGTTTACACTATGTCATGAAACAAAAGAATTCAAGCCAGCGGTTATATGGTACTATAACTGTTAAGAGACTTACAGTTTGTCAGTTCAATATGGTACCTGATTGAAAATAGATTTCAACCTAAAGGGGGAGAAGTGAAAGCCTTATGATACTTGATTTCTCTGGATTCTACATTTGTGATGAATCCATGGGGAAAAGTGTCTACCAAATGGTCAGCTCCTGCATAATCACTCGATTGCAAAGATATATATATATATATATATATATATATATATATATATATATACTGGCAGAAACCTATTAATTTCTTTCATTTGACTGTCTGAGATAGCTTTAGTTTGACAGACTAGTATTTATACAGTGTGATGATTGAAGGTGAAATGAAAATTTGGACTGCAGTCGAATTCAAACCAGCGACCACCGGGTTTCCAGAAAAATACCCTACCGACTGAGCTACGAAGTCCAACTGCTGACCAGATTTTTATTTCACCTTGAATCATTATGCAGTATAAATACTACTCTGCCAAACTACGGCGATTTCAGATAGTCAAAATGATATTTAATATGATGCTCCCCCTGTCTCTAATTCGGTTAGATTTGAATTGGGATGAGAAGTCCTGACTGCAGGCAGCCAATGAGAATACTATCAAGCGATAGTGACGCGGTCCCACCTGGGTCCGAATTTCCATTTCACCTTCAGCCACCACCCAGTATAATTTCTCTCATTTGGTTTTTTTCAACGGTTTACCCGATGCCACAATAAATATGAGTTACCTAACTTTATATCTTGTACAATAAATCAAGTTTTATTTATAATGTTAAAAGTCTATCTATTTAACAGAATTATTTGTGTGTCTGCAGTTTTCTAATGAAGTGATTAAATCAAACAAATAATAGATCAATCTCTTTAATCGAAAATCGTACTTATCACTGTTTCAAATACTTCGATAACACTTGAACGTCAATATTCTTTCGTTCATTGGTACTTGTAATTTCCTGTTGAGTTGAATTGTCCGACCTCTGTTGGTAAATAGGCTCCTATGCAGATGACTTGATATTGCCCGAATGTTGTGGTGTTATAGTCTACTTAATGGGTAGCGGTGCAATGCAGGATGCGCGTTTCGCCCTGTTTGGGATTCGTCAGCCGGATATACCTTCATCCCAGTATTGCTCTCACTGACTCTAGAACCCACTACCTGACGCTTGAAATACCAAAACGATGGGTGCTACGTTCCAATCTCAGTAGGAACATGATCACCTACTAGGGTACAGATACATCCAACTGAAAAGCCCCAAATAAGACTAAACACGCATCCTGGATTTCACTGTTAACTATCAAGTAAACTACAATAAAATTAATATCCTATAGTCCAATAAAGTTTAACAACATTTCAAAGCAACCTAAAGGTGAAATCAACTTTCGGCAAGTGGTCATATAACCCCAAGAGATGAATATTTGATAGAAATGAACCGACAGTACCATTTTAGGAAGCATACTCCTGTTTACCATCCTACCATCGATATCTATGTAGGAAAGTAGAGACCCTTGATCTGTGCTAAATAAGGGGGTACTAGTTAACAAACAATAACCGGAGTAAATACTAATCTAGGTAGTCATATAATATCACTTCTCAAAAATACTTTCTTACCTGACTGTTGAATTTTACATTGGTGAACTTATCTAGCGTGTTATTTTACATGATCCTCAGGTATTCATTTCTACTTTAATATTCAGGCATTGTTTGAAATGAGTGTTTTTCAGTATCACTGTGATTAATTTAATCTCAAGTGCAGTTATTCTTTGAAATATTCTCTTCCTGATGTCACTGACGCGATCTTAAGTCAGACAGGTTGACGATTACCGCTTTTTGTAAACCACACAAACCATTTTCCTCTCTCCTTTCAAAAATGTTGATGATATGGTTATCGCTATTCCTTAGAGTTAGTCAGTGATTGATATAACATGAGTGGGTAGTACACGTGTGAACTCTAGAACAATAACCTTGACATTCCACCCTTGAGGATCGATCAGTTCATTGAAAACTGAAAGAAGCACTAAAATATGTACAAAATGTAATGGAAAAATAGGCTTTCAGTGGCCTTCGTATTTTCTACAGCTTTCCAGAGGGACAACTCCTATTGATTTAATCCTACTAGCCAAACAACAGCTCACACGCACAATCACGTATCTTTTCTTGAATGTTTGGCATGTAATGACTAGTAATGAAGGTTTCAGGGAAACTTTGGGCTTGTTTGAAGAACCTAGGAGATTATGCTGAACTTCATAGTGCTTGCCTCCTAAAAGTGAAGGTATAAGTATGAGGGTTCATTTGAAATCACTTGAATTTTTCTTTGCTTCTTTTCTGCAACGGATGCTATGTTGTTGTTTCGGTTTCGGGTACGCAAAGTTCTGAATCTTCTTTTTACTACCCATAGGTTGTAATTCAATTTCCAACAAATATGTGTTGTCGAAAAATTGATTTGGGAGTATGCTATGGAATACTTTCGTTTTATGTAGATTTCGAAGTTTCAGTCTTATTCGATTTGTATGTCTGGTCTAGACTTCCGAGCCAACTTGCACTTCATGCAACACTGTGCCGATTTTACAGATCTCATTCTGTCCGCTAAAAGCTGATGATACTTCAGAAGTAAACTATGTAACTTTATTTGTTACCATGATTTCTGGCACACTGATGTGATTGTGGCCCATGTCGCTCTTTAAGGAGTGTAGAAGACTTCAAGCAATTCGATAGAGACATCAACAATAATAAGGTGAACCTTTTATTGTACAGATCAATGAATTCGGCGTGCAGTCCCTGGTGTAGCATCTCTGTCATTGGTCATAGGCTTGGTGGACAATATCGAGAGATACACACAGGAGCTCATGTGCCGATAGTGAATGACCAATTCAGTCCAAGTAACGGCGGAGACTCGCAAGCTGTACCATCAAAAACTGTACCATATCAGTCACATAAGAATTGGCTATCGTGACTCACTGGCCTACTAGATATCCCTCTGGCGTCTGAAGTGACTAGTCTAGGGTTCGTGTCTCAGTGGAAACAATACTTACTGGGAGGCAGGTACATCCAGCTGACAAGTTTAGGATAGGACTATTCATCGCTTATTTCAAAACTCCATATACAGGTAGTACAGAAACATCTTTACATGGTCCAATACATCAACAGCGGCCGATAAACAAGGTCCAATCAACGGCGGTGATTAACAAGGTATTGTTACAGGTACAACAAGCCAATGATTTCATTCTAGTGACGCTTGAATAGGTGCTGTGAATTTGTCGCTATACCTGCTGTCAAACACACTTCGGCACTACACTTTTATTTGAAAGTATGACATGTGAATCAACAGTCGACAGTTAATCACCATGGTGATAGTATCCATATACTTTGACCTATTCATTTATTCATTCAGAAATAAATATGAAAGATTTTCAAAGTCAACAATTACATTCATCATCAAGCTTATAATGATTGCCATTTATGTATAATATTAGGTGGTTGTAAAAAGTTAATCTAACAATTTATGTAAATTTGACTAATCGAGAATATTACTCAATGAATATTGATTAGAGTATTCATCAGTAGAAAGGTTTATTAGTCTTTGATTAGCAACTACAATGCAAGGTATGATTTCAGTAGTTAATACGAGTTGATTTATTCAAAGAAGTACTGATTACAATTTTATTATCACTCTATTTCTTTCTATCTCTATCTCTGCCTATCCTCTATCCTTTTCTCTTTGTCAATCATACACAACAAACATATACAATCGAATCCTTATTTGGATAAAATTAATCAGTTATTTATGCATTTCGTATACCTAATTATTTATTCCTTTCGTCTTCCGAATTCGACCATTGACAATGGATGATTCATTATTTATGTTTAGAAGTGAAAACGAGAAATTTAGACGCCTAAGGTAGTTTATACTACTGTAGACTGGATTAGTATAGCTTTCTGCAAAACTTTGAATATTAATTACGTTGTTAGCCATTTTTCTAATACTTTGAAGAAGACTGATAGTGTCCTTTTGAATAAGTTATTTATATATATCTAGAAGATTGTAGTACTTGTTGTTGGAATATGCATTCTGGTTGAAGATGGTTTGGTTGTTGTTGCCATATTTACTGACCTGTAGGTGGTACTT